TGTTGAGCTATAGGCGCCGAGCCTGTTTTTTGTTTTTTTGAGACAGACTCTTCCTTTGATTGAATGCAGTGGCATTCTAGTCCTAGGATGGTAGAGTGCTGCAGCATCCTAGCCCTAGCTGCTTGGGCTCAAGTGATTCTCTTGCCTCAGCCTCCCAAATAGCTAATACTATAGGCCACCACAACACCTGGCTATTTTATTTTTTTAGAGACAGGGTCTTGCTCTTGCTCAGGCTGGTCTCAAACTCCTGAGGTCAGGCAGTCTACCAGCTTTGGCCTCCCAGTGTGCTAGGATTACAGGCATGAGCCACTGTGCCTGGCCATAACTTTGAGATTAAAAAATATTGTTGCTTGCTGGGTGTGGTGGCGCTCACCTATAATCCTAGCACTGTGGGAGGCTGATGCAGGTAGATAATATTTGAGCTCACCAATTTCAAGACCAGCTTAAGCAAGAGTGAGACCCTCTGTCTACCAAAAAATAGAAAAAATTAACTGGATATTGTGGTAGGTGCAATAGTCCCCAGCTACTTGGGAGGCTGAGGAAGGAGGATCCCTTGAGCCCAAGAGTTTGATATTTCTTTTTTTTTTTTTTAAAGAAAATTTATTTATTTATTTCTTTATTTGCAATTTTTAGCCAGGGCTGGGTTTGAACCCACTACCTCCAGCATATGGGGCTGGTGCCCTACCCTTTGAGCCACAGGCGCCACCCCTTTTTTTTTTCTTTTTTTAGAGACAGAATCTCACTTCGTCACCCTCAGTAGAGTGCTGTGGCATCACAGCTCACAGCACCCTCCAGCTCTTGGGCTTAGGCAATTCTCTTGCCTCAGCCTCCTGAGTAGCTGAGACCACAGGCACCCACCACAATGCCCAGCTATATTTTTGTTGCGGTTTGGCCAGGGCCAGGTTCAAACCCACCACCCTTGATATACGGGGCTGGAGCCCTACTCACTGAGCCACAGGCGCTGCCAGACTTTCAGGTTTTTATGAGGTATGATGCCACTGGCACTCTACCCAGGGTGACAGAATAAGACTCTGTCTCAAAAATAAATAAGTGCTGGCCAGGTGTGATGGCTCATGCTTGTAGTATTAGTGCGATGGGAGGCCGAGGTAGGTGGATTGCCTGAGCTCAGAGGTTTGAAGCCAGCATGATCTGGAGTGAGCCAGAGTAAGACCCTTGTCTCTACCAAAAAAAAAAAAAAAAAAAAAGCCAAGCATTGTGGTGGGTACCTGTAATCCCAGCTACTTGAGAGGCAAAGGGCAAGAGAATTGCTAACGGAAAAAAGAAATTAAAAATAAAAAATGCTGATTCACTTAAATAGCCAGCTCCAAGACACTATGAACAATGTTAAGTGAGGACTTAATGCATATTGTTTAGGGTTTTTTGGGTTTTTTGTTTTTGAGACAGAGTCTCACTACGTCACCCTCGGTAGAGTGCTATGGCATCACAGCTCACAGCAACCTCGAACTCTTGGGCTTAAGGGATTCTCTTGCCTCAGCCTCCCAAATAGCTGGCACTACAGGCATCCGCCACAACACCCGGCTATTATTTAGTTGTAATTGTCGTTGTTTAGTAGGCTGGGGCCGGGCTTGAACCCACTAGCCTCAATGTATGTGGCTGGTGCCCTACTCACTGAGCTACAGGTGCTGAGCCTTTTTTTTTTTTAATTGAGATAGAATTTCACTTTGTCACCATGGGGGGTTGAGTGCTGTGGCATCATAGCTCACGGCAACCTCAAACTCCTGGGCTCAAGTGATCCTTTGTCTCACCCTCCCAAGTAGCTAGGACTACAGGGGCCCATCACAACGACTGGCTAGTTTTGTTTAGTTCTTTTAAATGATGCCCAGCATGGTACTTCTATCATTTGATGAATAGAACTTCTGTTTTACGTATTCTAAATTATCGTATTCAGCCCCTGCCCTTTGAATGCTTATGGTTGAGAAATTAGATATACTGATGTAGATAACTTAAGTATGACCACATAAATTAAGCTATAAACCGATACTGAACCAGATTGTAGAATGTTAACTCCATGCCATCCAGACTAACAGAAATTATTAAGCTTGAATTTCTAAACACATGGTCTTACTAGAACACCTAGCAGTAGAAGAAGGTCCCCAGAGACTATGTTGCCTATAAACAGATCACAATTATTTACAAAGTGTATAATTCAGACACTGACAACTAAAAATTATAAAATGTACGTACAGAAATACAGTTTGAGGTAAAGAAATACTAAGAAGCAAAAGTATTGGAGTTAGATGGAATCCTTTGACTTTGAATTGACACAGTATTTTTTTCTCAGTGCAATATAGTGGGAAATCAGAAGATGTGGGTTCTTTTTTTTTTTTTTTTTTAGAGACAGAGTCTCACTTTATCACCCTTGGTAGAGTACTGTGGCATCACACACCTCACAACAACCTCCAGCTCTTGGTCTTCGGTGATTCTCTTGCCTCAGCCTCCCGAGTAGCTGGGACTATAGGCGCCCGCCACAATACCCGGCTATTTTTTTGTTGCTGTTGCAGTTTGGCTGGGGCCGGGTTTGAACCCGCCACCCTTGGTATATGGGGCTGGTTGCCCTACCCACTGAGCCACAGGCACTGCCCCCCCCTTTTTTTTTTTGAGACAGAGTTTTACTCTTGTGTCTAGCATCACAGCTCATAGCAACCTTAAATTCCTGGGCTCAAGGGATCCTCTTGCCTCAGCTTCCCAACTAGCTGGAACTATAGGCCACCTTTCTTTTTTTTTTTTTGAGACAGAGCCTCAAGCTGTCCCCCTGGGCAGAGTGCCATGGCATGCAACCTCCAACCCTGGGCTCAAGCGAGTCTCCTGCCTCCGCCTCCCAAGTAGTTGGGGACCACAGGCGCCCGCCACAACGCCCAGCTATTTTTTGGTTGCAGCCGTCATTGTTGTTTGGCGGGTCCGGGCTGGGGATTCGAACCCGCCACC